CCTGGAGGCAGAGCCGCCCGTTAGGCTCGCACCCCGGGCCTCCGTCCCCGTGCGACCCCGGGATCTGACGCTTGGGTAGCCTGGGGAGCCCCCCAGCCCCCCTTCAGGACAGTGACCCCCCCTCCGCCGCCACCCCGTCCTGTCCGTGGTACCGCCGCGTTTAATGGCCACCGCTCCCTGCATGTTTCATTCTTTCTCTCAGTGGAAACATTGTTTCAAAAAGTATCGATCGTTACGCTGAGTCCCCAGGCGCTGACAATGAACTTGCGCATTGTAGCTCAGCGCAGTAATGTTTCTGGGCGCCCTGGCTTTGACGCCCAACGCGTTGGCATTATTTTATTTTCACAGGGGGATTAGGTCAGAATATTTGAAGTCAGGGTGCCCCCTCCCCGCCTCCCTAAAATACAAGTAAGATGCTTGATCTCTTGTAAAGCTTGGCCGTGTCTTTGGAATACGTGCCATGGCCGGTGTTTCATTCTAACTCTGCCCCTGGTACCCAGAACATGACGCCATCCTAGTCTCCCCTCCTTCCACCTCATCTCCTGTGATCTTAGAGGATTCCCCCAAAGCCTTCCTTTTGTCTTGGAGGTCTCCCACCCCACCCTCTGGCGGAGGTAACCATGCAGGGGATGTGGCCTGGGAGACCCAGAGGGAAGAAGGTGCTTATGGTTGGGTCCTTGAAAGGAGCGAAAAAAGGCTCGGCTTTTAAGTTCCAGGAGTAACTGAGCCAGTCTGTGGCCCACCAGCTGGAGGTCTGCACTGTCTCAGGGACAGAGCACAGTGACTGCTGCTGTGACCCACCGCTCATTCCCGGCTTCCTTTCTGGGCCCACGGGGGCCCCTCACTGCCCAGCTATTCGAATTAACTGCTATTTAAACGGAACCAGCTGCGTGCACCTTCCCCCGGTGCCCCCCTGCATAGGGCTGGGGTGCTATCCAGGGCTTCGGGTCTGCCCGCTCCACTCTTTATCGCCTCTGATTCACGCACCTAGATCTCTATCGTCTGTATCGACACCTGGCTCCTGCCCCAGCCTATTCTAGCACTTGGCACTTTTTTGCCAAAGGATTAACTTATGCATGAAAAACATGAACAAATACTGATCCCCGAAATGAAATAATCCAATTTGATTTCTCCGAACCAAAAGAAGGGGTCCTTTCTCATCAATTTCTTTCCAAACTTCCATTCCAGGCACCGAAGAACAAAAAGCAGGACGACAAACTGAAGGAAGGGCTAGAAATAAAGAGACGCGCAGTTAGAAACACTGAAGGGAAACCATTTCACATTCAAAGCGGGTTAGGAATCACTGGACTGCTACAAAGATTCACTGGGCAAAATCGTTACCAGTTTCTAAGAATCTGTTCGCCAAATTGCGAAACTATCAAATTCACCCTCGATGTTGTTGACAGAAACAGGAAACAAATATAATCATATGATGCCATCACTTTAAGTCATTTCCTCTAATAGCTGTACAGTGTTCTTAATTTTTAAGAATTGGGAAACATATTATCTGGTTAGTTGATCCTTATAAAAAACGTTGCGTTTTTACAAATATTTTATCTCTGTGGGCTACAAATACCTGCCTATCCACCTCAATAAAAAGTTTCGCTGTGTTGGGTTAAAATGGTTTGGGTTAGTAAAACACGCGATAAAGTTTAAAGAAGACGGCGTTCTCACAATTAGGAGTATCAGGAAGGGCTCTGAGGCTGCTTGTTCAAGGCTAGAAAACAGTAAAAGCTGCAAAAAGAAAGACAGACCAGGGTTAAACAGAAACATTTTCATTTTGTGAATTTTAGCCATATGAATGTGAATCGGCCCACTGAACAGCCCTATGGGCAAATGCCCCCTGGCTTCGCCGAGAGTATTGGCTACGCGTCCATCTCAAAATGTGGGGCGAGGGGCTCCCTCCCCCCCTCCCTCCCTCCCCCAGTTTATGAGCCACGGTGCTTTTAGTCGAAACAATAGGATTTCGCAGTTATTCATCTCCTGGTGAGAGAATCTTGGGGGTCTGTGCTAGCCCCCCCAAACATTAAGAGAGAGAGGCAAGATTTCTCTGTATCACACGGATACGGAGAAATCTTCACACACCTCTGGCCCCCACTGTTCCTTTCCTATGGCCCGTTTCTTCCCTGTCCCTTCCCTGTGGCCACCTCTTCTGTCCCATACGGCACCTTCCTTCCACGGGTACTCATACAGGTATCAGTCAGCTAGAAAAGGACGGTGGAGAGGTCCTCTAGAACCCCGAACCCCCTAAGATGAGACACGTTTCCTCGGCCGCCTTTTAGGGCTGAGCGTGCCCAGGAGCGTACACGGCTCCGCTTGGGTGTGAAGGCCGCTCTGTGTCTTCTCGCTCCCCGCCCGTCGTTTGGGGCCAGCTGTCCTGTTACGTCAGCTGAGGCTCGCTGTCCCATCTGAGGGAGACCCCGTTGGGGCCCCCGAAGCAGAAATCTTCAAACGTCACACATATTTAACATGCTGCAGAGTCACAACCCTGAGCAAAGTGTTCCCCGCGGGCCCTGAGCTCCGGGACAGTGGAGCAGATGGTGGCGTCACTTACGTAAAAAGATAAGAGCAGGGAGCCAACCAACGTGCCTTGTGGTATAAAAAAGATGACGAAATAAAATGCAATATGTCCAGGAAGGTCCACCACAAATAAGAACACACAGAAGATGGTGATCTAAAGAAAAATACAAATAGGCAGGTTAACCACTCTGAACGCCAATAGATGCTCCAAATTCAGGTGGCTCATCCTCTTGGAGAGAGTCCCAATTTCTACTCCAAACTTGGAAACCACGCCGAAATCAACGGATCTCCGCTGACTTTTCTCCTGGTGACTTAGCCACAGCCCTTTGGCCCTGGAGCATTGTGGGCGAGACCTCACTGGATAAATCTGGGACCTAACGGACAGAACGTTTTAATTACAGAAAAGGGGAAAAAAAAAGGGGTGCATATTATTTGTGGAGGTAAAATTCAGACTAGTATGTGAGCCAGAATCGTAAGCAAACATTGAAATGGATGTCCAGCGGCAATACGGCCGCAGTGAAAGGAGGCCTTTGTTAACTACGGCAACGGAGAAACGTAAGCGTTTAATCACCCGGAGCGGCTTAGTAGGAGTCCTAACGTACAAAATTCAGGGATGAGAGAAAGTCACAGGTACATCTGACACTCTCAGACTTCTGAACTGTTGTCCTGCCTAAAAGTTTCGGTATACTTCTAATTTCTCTCTGGTACAAACCATCCTGTTTATGTCTTCCGGAATATTCTTCCTAAAAGTGTGTCTCTGATTATATATATTTTATTTTTATTTTTATTTTTTTATTTTTTTTCTGGACTATGAGCTTCCACGGCTTCCCACAGTCTGTACAAGAATTTTTTAAAAAGTTAACTTGAGAGCGAGAGGAAGAGACAGAGAGAAACATCGATCTGTCGCTCTGCTTGCTCCCGCCCCCATTGGCTGCTTCTTGTACGTGCCCGGAGTGGGCATCGAACCTGCAACCTTGGCATAAGGGAATGACGCTCTAACCCACCGAGTGCCCGGCCAGGGCTGCAGAATAAGCTCTCGAGCCCATTATTTAAGGCCGGTCGTGGCTCCAGCCACTCTGCTCGCCATGCCAGGCCCCGCCCGCTGCAGCCCCCTTTCTGCCCACGTTCAGGCCGAGTGTCACCGGCAGTTAGACTTGCTCCCAGCCGCCCGTTCTCGCCCCTGAGGGTTTCCGTCCGCCCATCATTATCTATTTGCATCGCGGCTCGTCTCCAGCTGTTGAAATCTAACTCTTCTTCAGGTCTGAGTTCCTAAAGGAAATCTCTGCTCTTATTTTTGTGAATGACTCACTCCCTTTTCTGGTTTTCACAGACCCCCTCGTGACTCAGTGGCCTTGGACTTCTGCAGATGGATGGTGACTCCATCACCTTTGCCTTGTCACTCAGGCTTAGGAAGAGGCCGTTTACCCTCTGGGCGCTCTTTCAGTGTTAAAACTGTCAACGACAGGAAATTAGAATAGATGCTTACAGGTTATGTATGTATTTCTTCCTAATTAAGATACATGTTGTTTTATGGAATGAATTCCCAGTGGAGAGTTGAAGTTGCTTCTAGCTTTAACCATGCTAGTTACAGTATCTGCATAACTTCACGGCGATCTTTGGGGTTCTTTCTTTCTCAGTAAAAAGAAGCTGCAGGTGGTTTCCAGGCTTCCTTCTATTAACTGCTTTATGGTTAGTGAAGAAAGATGTGGCCACTTTTAAAGAAAGGCCGGGGTAGAAATAGGGAGAGAAAAATATGTAGATTTTGAAAAGGCAAACTTTAAATATTTTAGACTGTAAACATTAATGTATTCTACCAAGGGCAAATTTTAAAGTATTAGCTCAGAATCGTGTGTTACATATATAAAATAAATGTTCCAAAGAAACATACTTACAATAAAGTAGCCCAAAGACCAAATGCCACTATTTTTCCTCCCCTTGCGAAAAATGAACGAAATGATATACGTGAAGAAGATAAGGGATATGGCATAACCCATAGCACATGGGATCTGAAATAAACAGGAAGGTGAGGTTTAGTTAAAGACAAATGCAATCTAGGAAAACATTTAGGATTCAAAACATCGGCCCAGCACAGGGTTTTATAGTGATTAATACGGCAAGACAGTGTGACTATCAGTGAAAACAGTTTGCGTCTTCCAAGTTTCTGATTAAATCGTACAATGACATCTGTTCGATGAATATTGTAACTTACTTGCAAAACCTGATTTAAGTGGTAAAATATAGAGTCTTCAGGGCTTAAAAGGAGGTCCAGTAAATACACAAAAAGGAACATCAGCCAGTACAGTGGGACGTCCACCAACGCCTGCCCGAACCAGTAGGCCGAAGGGAAGAGCCCCGAGACCCGTAGCTGGGACCCAACTCTGTTCTGAGTAGGAGACAGAAAATACAAAACGGCATTTCAGTGGGAGGTTTAAGAAAATGTGGATTATGGAAGACAATATTCAAAGCAAATCATTCATTTGTAATAATTCTGCATCACGGCTACCCACGTTATCTGGGCCCCAGGATATGAATCATCCCAAACATAAACGCTGGGTTTGCAGTGCTGATGTTCGCCAGACGCCCGATAGAAATGCATGCAAGGAGACCTCAGAGCAGTCGACACTTGGGTCAAGAAAACAGTGGTTACTGACTTGTGGGGTAGGGTGGGAGAGTTGATCTAAGCAGCTATTTTTTAAAATATGTTTTTATTGACTTCAGAGAGAGGAAGGGAGAGGGAGAGAGAGAAACACCAATGGGCTGCCTCCTGCACGCCCCCTACTGGGGACCCGGGGCTCGAGCCAGCGACCTGGGCCTGTGCCCTGACCGGGAATTGAACCGTGACCTTCTGGCTCAGAGCCATTCTTCTCTGACACAGTATGAACTGTGCTCTCTCTCTCTTTTTCCTAGTTGCATTTAAATAAATAAATATATATATTCGCTTCATTCTTTTAATCTCAGTAAATGACACGTTAGGGTAGTTTTTCTGTAGCACACGTTCAAATATTGATGACCCATCCAAATATTTGTGTATATGTACATAAATATAAATGCCTCACACATATAAATATATTTTGTATCCCTTCTCATTCTCTGAGTAAACTACTAAATTACATATTTTAAAACAACTTATCCAGTGATGTGGTTTGGGGCACAAATTAAGCTTTAAGCCTTTCTAATAATTTTGAACATATTTTTTCCTTCTAAAAATATTTACATTCATTTGTTGATGGCCACTGATTAGCTAAATGATGCTCCTGTCTGAGACATGATTTGACGTAAGGATTCCTATCAAAATCTCCCCGGCAGTTTTATGGAAAATCAATTGCTGATATATGTATGGGTTTATATCTGAAATGTATGTTCCATTTTATATATTTATATGATTACCCTTAATGAATACAGCACATTTTTAGTTACTGTAACTGTGGTAAGCTTTGACGTCAGAAGCATGTCTTCCAATTTTGTTTTAATTTTTCAAAGTTATTTTATGTTCAGGTCTTTGCATACTCATACATTTTAGAATCATTCTGTGTAATCTACCGATTTGTCTATGTGTTATATTTCCACTTATAGAACTTCCTTTTATTTTTACAACTTAGGATTTACGTCTGAATTGGCTGCTCACGTAAACATGTATACACAGCCTCTTGAAAAGCCCTGGAGTCACATCACCCTCAGCATGTAATCAGGCGGAGCAGGGAGCGTTTCCGTCGCTCGCCGTTACCTTGTAGTCGTCGATGCTGCTCATGGCGATGTAAGGAACACAGCTGGATGACAGAAGCAACCAGAACATGGACGGCATCACGAACTCAAACGAGCTGTACAGTTCCTTTGGAAAATGCAAAGAATCGAATGAGCTCAATGAACAAATTCAAAGGTCACTTTCTGGAAAACATTTTAAAAAGCGTTAAACGGACTATGTACACCTCTGCCTACGGCCCCCTTGTTTCCAAACCCTTTACTGTCCCTCCGGTTTTGAAGGCTGACTTTTGGCTTGGTACCCACGTTTGTGGGTAAGAAAGTGACTTAAAGGAGGTAAGAGTTACTAATAGGACAGAGCTGGAAAGTAACAGGAGTAAGGCCTTCCATCTTCTTTATGACTCTAAAAATGGGTTCTGATGCTAACTCATGATGAGAACTCGCAGCTGAAACACTCAGTTTCCACAGCGATCGGTGTCATGGTTCCGAATGTAACTGCTTGACTCCAACAGCACATCGGCTATTTTACGGGCCTAGTGGCCGCAAGCCGTCGTCTTAGGGACAGCAGCGGGGCCAGGAAAGCATCGGCTGGGGCTTCCGAAGTGCGACGAGGCACTGGAAGGGACGTAACGTCGCCGAGGAAAACCTTTGCCCCTGGTGACACTGCCGCTCCTGTGTATGACCATCGCTAAGGACCGGAGGCCCACACACCCTCTGGGAGACGGTCCCCGCTGTCTCACGATGCGCGTAGTTGTGGTTTCGTCAAACGCAGGACTGGCAGGGTCATAAGCAGAGGCCGATGGTCTTCAGCCTGGCCGCCAGGGACACGCCTGTCTCCACAGCAAGGCGAGGGCGGAGTTGTTTGCCAGGCTGTCCCCAGGACACCTGCGTGCTGGGGGTCGGGGGGACTCTGTGCAGATCCACTGGCTTTGGGCCGGACAGAGCAAGGCCTGAAGCCACGGGAAACCCTTCCGTGCCAGCGAGGAGGTAGATCTGAGTCGAGTATAACGCGAGTCGCTGGAGATGCGAGTTCAAGTTCAGGTGCTGGGCGTATAAATGAAGGTCAGCTGGCCGGCTGGTAGCCGCGGGCTGGCCCCAGCGAAACGCGGTGGTTTATGGATGAACGTCCCGGGCGGCATCTCCATTACTGGCTCTTCCCTCCGAGCCCAGGGCACTGAAAAAGCCTCCGCGGCTGTGTCGGAGGTTAATGAAGTAAGTCATAGCACGCATCCTAAAGTGAGTTCATCTTGGACGGGTGACCGACACTTTTTGCCGTCATGGGTAAGTTTTCTGAAGGGAGTTTTTATTCCCTGAGCACACAGTGAGGTGTGTGGTGGGAAGGAAACGCAAGATCTTTCTAGAGCCTATGAAAATAACGATGGACACGCGGTCCGCTTCCTGTACACGCAGGCGGACGGCTGTTAGCCGTGTGCATCCCCGGGCAGGCTGACGGGGCGGGCGCAGGCCGTGTCCTGACCCCGACGCCGACGTCTGCGTTTAACAGACGGCGGGCCAGCGCCCTCCCTGCTCCCGGCCCTGCCCCGGGCGCACGGCGCTGCATCGTGTTAGAAACACAGGCCGGCGGCACCCTCGAGGAGCGAGAAACAGAGTTAGGGAAAAGTCAAACTGGAATAATTACAGGCTCTGGTGGGTATCCTGGTCTCCAAACGTAAAGGGCTGTGTACGTTCCATTTACCTGGGCTCTTTTCAGAAATAGGATTTTTTTTTTTTTTTGCCTTTATGAAAAAGCTGGTTTGGTCTGGAGTAAGCCCTAGGAATTAAATTTTTCAAATCCTCACCCCAGGATATTTATTTTTTCGATTGAGTTTTTAGAGAAAGTGGAAGGGGGGAGAGAGAGAGAGAGAGAGAAACGCTGATGTGAGAGACACATCGACTGGGACTGGCTGCCTCCTGCACAAGCCCCGATGGGCTGGGGTTCAGACCTGCACCCAGGTACGTGCCCTTGACTGGGAATTGAACCTGTGACCCTTTGGTTCGTGGGCTGATGCTCTAAACGCCGACCCACACCGGCCAGGGCAGAAATTACTGTTTTTGACAAGGAACTGAAGTAATTTTAATGTAACAAGTCTGCAATTCTAGCCTGAATTTGTCCTAAAAGTTTTTTCTTTTGTAGCATTTATAAAAGTAATAATAAGGCTTCTA